ATCTCGTCAAGTCCAATACTCACACCCAATCCGGTTCCCCTTTAAACCACCAAAACGATGCCGTTTCACCCATTTGAATCTCTGTCGTCCATCAAGCCCCATCCAACGGTCCTAAAGCTAACCCCCTTTTAGATTTAACTATCCGAAATTAACCCGCTCCCTTACCCAAACCCTTAACAAATACTTCACTCTCATCTCCCTCATCTCTCCCAAATCCCCTCCCAAACCCTAGCCGCCCCAAGACCCTTTGTTGGCGGTGCCGCTTCAAACAACCCCAATCTCCCAAAAATCTTTACCCCACAATCCCCACCTCCTTCTCATCCCATATCCCTCCGTTATTTCTTTCGAAAACCTCCAGAATCTCTTAATTTTTAAATCTAGGAAATCCTAAAACATAAATCCACCCCTTTTCGATTTTTTCTCAAATCCCGTTTTGTTTGGGCTTAAAACCAACACCAATAGACTTCTCTCATTGAGTGCTATAAGTTGCCATTGGTTTTGTCTCGTTTCAAGGTCGTCGGTTGCCGGTCAATTCACTATTGACCGGCCAGAACTATTGGGAGTCCTTTGATGTTGACCGGATTATGGCTAATATCGTCGCATACAACATTAGTTACACTCTCAAGCATAAGCCAGTGCTTGTGTGGCGATGCCGGCCATCGTCCGAAATTCTTTTCTTTTCGGTCCATAGTGTTTCACATGGTAATCCTCTACTTCTTTTCTTCATTCCTTAGAGTTGTTAATTCTATGTCTTAGTGTGTTAATTATTAGTTTGACAGCATGCTTAGGTTAATAATTGAAAATGTTTTAGCTTTCTGAATATTTATTTGATTTAGTTCTACTTAAAGTTTAATCGGTTAATTAGGTTATGGTTTTAATTACGCATGTGGTTAATTGATAGGTCAACTAGTTTGCTGATTGTTATTAATTTGTACTTGATAGCTTAATATTAATTTAGATTAATTAATTATTATTTAGTAATATTGATTCTATGGGATAAAAGAGGACAGTAGGTTGAGGTAAAGACACTAGTTGGTATTAATTACAACTTGAGTGGGGTAAATGAGATAGAAACTTATGGAATCTTTCTTTTAGTTGATAAAAAGTTTTAGAAGAGTTTGGAAGGGGTTAAAATGCAGTAAATCAGACGTCAAAAGGGGTTAATTTCAGAAGTTAAGGGGTTGAGAAAAATAGGAAAAGAATCTATGATTGACAGTTGTCCAAATTGGTTAAGAAAAGATGCTGTAAATAAGAAAAAATATCTAAAAATGATAGTTGTCCAATTCAGTTGCAAAGATGCCATTTTCCTAAACTATATGGGGGGGGCGCTAACAGATTCTTTTCACAGCCTCTGATTTTTATGCATAGAAGCTCACATACACCTCCATATTAAGCATTGTTTGATCTATGCATCTTTACACACAGAACAATTACAAAAGCTAAGAATCCGAAGAAACATTCTCAAGAAAACTTCAAAAAAGATGAGGTTTCAGCTTTTCGAGTCCTTGTTAGAATTTCAGGGCATATATTTGAAGCTGTTCTTTTTCTGGCATGTTTGGTTGTGCTTGTTGCTTGCTTTGAAGCTGATTTTTCTCTCTGGAGTTTTCAGCTCTATTGGGCTCTAATCCTTTCTCTGTATTCATCTTTTCCAAACATTTTGCCTACTCCTTATGGGCTTAGAAATGAATGAAGTTTTCATGATGATATGGTTGCTGGTAGTGAAGTTGAGTTGTGGTTTATGAATTTCCCTATTAATTGGTTTGTAATGCTTTAAGGCTTGAGATCCTACCGATCCTTCATAATCCCCATGAATATCCATGATTCACTATTTCCTTTTGTGCAATTTATTTTAGATGAAAATGATCCAAATTTAGCTTGCCCGTGGTGATTTCTTTGTGTTTAAGTCAGAAATGGAAATTTACTTGTTAGCTATGGCTAAGTCGACATATATTTGATCTAATGTATGTTAGCCATTAGAAAACCAGTGTGTTCATTTTATTGCTTTCCTATTGGAGATTGTAAGGTTTTAGACTATTTATGAAGAAATGGACTTGAGGTCGCCTAATAAAGATTTCTTTAATTTGAAGGTTAAGCTAAAAACACGAGGATTTTGATCTGGAAACCACTTCGTCCTTTTGGAATCTGCTTAAAAGAGTTTTAGGTGGATTACTTGAGTAATAACTTTTGAGAGTTAGAAGTTTGAAGAAATGATGATACTTTTTGCACAACTTTTCCGTCAAAGATGGAATGAGTAAATGACCTCTAATGAACCAAGCAGATTAGGATTTATAATGTATAGCTTAATGGAATCTGCGATTCTTTATTTTTGTTTGATAAGTGATAATGTGATGTTCATGTTTAACTAAGTTCAATTGAAGTTAAGTAGGAATTTATGTAATTTCTTGCTCTTATGATTTTTTTTGACGAAATTGATAATGGGATATTGAAAAATCATGGCCATGATTGAGGCCCATTTGTTCAGGCCCAGACTTTAAAAGGAATTAGTGAGCAATATGACATAGGGGTGGGCATCGGTCGGTTCGGTTCGGTTTTGNATAAAGATCCTAAAATAGAAGCCCTTTTTATAAATAAAAAAATCATACAGTATTACACAAGTAAGAAGGAAGAGATCAATCTCCCATAGGGTGGGCATCGGTCGGTTCGGTTCGGTTTTGAACATTATCGGTTTTGCCTATCGGTTATCGGTTTACAAATATCATAACCCGATAACCAAACCGATAAGATATTGGTTATCGGTTATCGGTTAATCGATTATATATCGTTATCGGTTCGGTTATCGGTTTACCCTATAATATAAAACAACTAAAAAAAATTGCAATATATAAAACAAAGAAATCAAACTGCCAGAACGTGTAAACTGCCAACTTTTATTGTTTCTTAACAAAAGCACGCTCCCACTTCTGTGCAGTATCTACTGATGTCTGGCGGAGAACTGGTGGTGAGTCTTGCGTCTTGACTCTTGGGGGCTGCGACGGAAACAAGAATGAGAACTGAGAGACAAACGACTGAAGAGTGAAGAGTGAAGAGGGAATTAGGAAAGTAAATAACCCTAGTATATACTTAAGGGTAAATTAGTAAATTACATCATTCTTATTGGGTTATCGGTTTTTACCCAATAACAAAAATGCAAACCGAGCCCGAACCGATAACCCAATAAAAAAAAAATTAACCCGTTACCGAACCGTTAACCCAATAACCCAATACCGATAACCCAATAAAGAATTAACGGTTCGGGTTATCGGTTTTACCCGATATATGCCCACCCCTAATATGACAGTCTCACACAACTAGGCTTTCGCGCGAAAGCCTATTTGAATATCATTTATCCTTGTAGTATTTTTATCCCATACTTGGCCCATGTCCGCTTATACCCACCCAACATAGCCAAAGCGTTATTGGAATTTTTGGAACACAGTCGTCTTTATTTTTTTAATAGCAAACGTGGTTGGCTCATTTTTTTTTCATGAACTGACTTAGTCTCTTAACATAATCGCAGTTAACCCACTTCTTATAAATTAATTCGTCTGATTTTCTCTTATTTAATTAAGTGACTGAATCTGCCAATAAATCCAATAACTGATCTTACAAAGAACTTTCCATAGATCATGACCTTACCACAAATCTCAAAGCAGCTTAGGAAGATAATTCTGAACATTGTAGTCTACTTTAGGCACGATAAATAAAATTATCGTGACTATGGGTACGATTTTCGTGGCATAGTCATGATATAATTCCCAATTCGAGTGTGAGTTTCACGCGATTCGACCAAAACGTTAAATAATAATTAAAATAAACATGTTACGAATCACGAGTTCGTTTCACGTGGTGTGATTCACAATGTGTGCTAAAACGATAAGTGCGCAACATCTCGACTTATTTAAATAAATTTCATAAACACTAAAAGCAGTTAATTAAATAATTAATGTCACTATCATAAATCCGGACCTGGTCGTGGTGGCGCCTCTTGTGAAGACAAGGCGAGCCAACACATTTCCAATTCCGTTTTAAGCAATTAAATAATAAGCGTTTCGTCTTAAACATGATATAAATCCAAAAGTAAGCAGTGACAATACAAACAATTTGCGGAATACAACCCAACATAGCCCGATACCGGGGTGTCACTAGTCATGAGCATCTATCAATACGCTACAAGTCTGGAATACCTACTAAACTATTACAGAATAATTGATAAAGAGATAGAAATGAGATAAAGGGGGAGAAACACGGGACTGCAGACGCCAAGTAGCTACCTCGT